TCGGCTCAGGTCATGATCCTGGAGTCCCGGGATCGAGTCCCACATCGGGCTCCCTGCTCAGCAGGGAGTCTGCTTCTCCCTCTGACCCTCCCCCAACAAGAGATGATGGTGGCAGGGTGGCATCAGGGTGGTGGTAGGGGGGTGATAAGAGGTGATAGAATTCTGGATATGTTCTCAAGGTAGAGCAAACAGAATTGCTTTTGTAATGCATGGGGGAGGAATCAAGGGTGACACTAAGTTTTTTGGCCTGAGCAACTGGAATAATGGGGTTTGGAACAGGTTTGGGACAACATCACAAGCTCATTTTCAGAAATCTTAGGGCGAGATGCCTGCCGGTCATACTGGCAGAGACATCAAGAAGGCGGTTGCATATGTGTGTGGCATTCAGAGGAGAGATTCAGGCTGGAAATATAAATGTGGGAATGGTGGCCAATATTGAATGTGTGTGCCAGAGGTTAGAGGATTTTGGTGAGGTGAGGGATGAGGGTGAGCAGAAGGAAGGAGGCAGGTGTAATTCTAAGTTTTCAGCTTGGACACTTGGTAGACACGCCATTCTCTGTTAGGGAACACAGATGGTGTAGAGAAGACGCTAGATTTTGCATGTATTGATTATAAGACATTTATGGAACTGGAACTGGAGATAATAGAGGAGATTACACAGTCTAATTCAGTCCTTTTACAGATGAGGAAATGGAGGTTCCAGCACAGCTAGCTTGAGTTAGATTGCCCAGTGCTCTTTTTGCCATACTTGGCCACTTGTAATTATAGGGAAGACTATGAAAGTAAAAGGCACATCTCTCTCATCCCAAGATTGTCCAGTCATCCCTACACCAATTAAAAAAAAAAAAAAAGAGGAAATTAAAGAGAAAAAGAAAAAAAAACTTGAGTGGTCAGATTGGCTCTAAGGTCAAGTGGGAATTCCTATGTATTTTGGAGAAGGATGTGATGTCCAGTGTACATCAAGACTATCCCAGTGTTTTCAGGCTCAGCATTTTAATTTCAGGAAACTTTAGACTGTCGTGATATTGGGTCAGTCCAAGCTAGACTTTTTTCAGGTAGAATACTTGGGCATCTGCATGTAGCATTTTGTTCCATCTTAAAATAATTCGTAGATGAAAGAGCTCCAATCAGAGATTATCATTGGCTAATTATGGAATATTGTTTGAATACCAAGGAAAGCTTGGGTAAAAGGAAGCAGAGGGTGTTTAGGGTGATGGTTTGACTTTCCAAGAATTCCACTGAGGCTGTAGGATAGTGAGGTCAGCAAACATGCGTTCA